AATCACACATACCCTGTTTTTGCGAAGTTTGTCCATCTCCACATAACTTCCTCACTCAGTTTTTCTCTTGATTGTTGAAGCGATAGAAGGCCGTTTGAAACTTCTCTGAGTATGGCATTCCAAACACATATTCGATTTCGTAGCCATGCATGACACCAACCCATTTTGGGAAAGAAAAATTGGCAGTTCTTCGTTGTAATTCGTACAAGAACACTTTAGAATTTGGAAGTGATGCCACGCGCTTGGCAAATTTTAGTGTGGGACATGTAAAGTCTAGTTCACCACAAAGTTGGTCTAAGCGACGCATGAGTTCCTCTGGTGTCATTGAGATTTCTGCAGTTTCGGAAGTAACCTTCGGAAGCCTGTAGTACTCTGCCGGCAATCGAAAAACACTTTCTACTAGTATGTTTTCACTCAAGAACTGTGCCGCCGTTATTTTGGTGAAGTCAGCCTTCTTACCTTCTATCAGAACTCCAGCGGCAGCCTTTTTTATGGCTTCTGGGAGGTTAACTGTCCCGTCTTTGTTCAGAAATCCGCCTTGCTTCAGGTCCAACCCGTATAACAAAAAATACATGGCTTCATTCTTATTGAAACCCAGTAATACTTCACGTTTGGTGCGTAGTTGTTCCTGGAAAGCAGTGGTAAGCAATTCTTCAGGGTGCTTCGGGATCACATGGCCGTCAATTACAGCTTTCAACGGAACATCAAAGTAGATCCAACTGGACTTGGCCCAACTTAAGATGTCAGGATCACCTGGAAATAAAGTTTTCAGTTTTTCCATCCTTCTGTTTTCTACAAACTCGCCCACGCTGTTCAGCGTGTCGACAACTTTTATGGGTTCCAAACTTTGCAAGCAAGCTAAACTCAATGCACGTTTCGTCTTTGGCGATGGGCAACCACAGGCAACGGTAAACTGCGAAAGAATGGAAAACAAAGAGTGTAGCATAATTCATATACTTAGAAGTATTATCTCATTCAGATGCTTTACTTTAGTGCAACTTTTGGACTGATCAGATCCTGCAACATGGATTTGAGGAAGGTTATGAGATTGAACCGATTTTTCGTGA